CAAAACTGGTATGTTTTTCATCGGCTCGTCCCCAGAAAGTTCGATTGTTGTTTTTTTTTTTAGCGAAGGGACCCAAAGGGTGTCAGGTAGGTTTTTTGATCTAGAAATTACGAGAATCAATAGTCATAAAATATTTACAGTTCTATACACCATAACATTTAAAATCGTAACAGTATTTTAGTTCATTGTATGGTATTATATGTGCTAAAACTCTTACAGAAAAAAATATAGAGTATAATGAACCTCTGGTCATATATAGGCGCACAGTCAACTATCGAGGAAAACAAAATAATGAAATTTCAAAAATATTCCCATGGTATTCCACTAAAGGGTAAAGTAAGTTTTTTTTACTGCAATACCTATCAATGATTTAAAATTTTTCTGTGAAAAACATTACCATCAAATTGTAAAGTGTTTTTATACTCGTATATAATGATTATACTTTAAAATGATCTGGTATCTTTTTTTACGTACGAGCAAGACCAGGCATATTTTAATGATGTTGTCCACAAGAAATACCAGAAGGTGTCACTCAGTATTTAAGAATGGAAATTTTCCCGTCCAGCCCAGAGGAGACGCATATCAGTTGATCACTTGTGATCGTTCGGATCACTATCGATGATTTTTTTAGTAGTGGTGCCTAATTACAATTTAAAATGCGCTTTATCGTCCGATTTCGATTTCGATCCGTTTGGGTGGTCCTTGTACGCAGTCACTTTAAGAACATGTTATATGCTGATTGCCCAATTGACGGGATAAATTATTCTTTCTGCTTTTTTTGACTCACTTTGTTAATTGTATAGACAGAACATTGACGATTTTGTATTATAGTTTTAGAAAGAAAGGAAATATACACAATGAGGACCAAGAAAGTTATTTAAAACATACATTTATAAAAAAATGTTAACTTCGTAAGTTTAACCGTATTATTAGGTGGTTAATTCCATGTACCTCTTGTTCTTACGAAAATAAATTTTTATGAACACTATTGGAGATAATTGGAGAAAGAAATGTAAATAAAAAAGGCCTAATATGAGTGTGCAAAAAAAATGTTAGGGCTTCATGGAACAGGTATAATTATCTAAGCGATTGTTTTACGATGATTAATGAATAATCTTTTCTGAATAGTCTTTTATAAATGTCTTTGTTGTTTTCTTATATACGGTACCATTTTAAGTGGGATTATTGATAGGAAATAGACATTTAATCAAATCCTAGACCAGCCTCGGGCTTTTTTACTTGTTTCCTTTTATGTGTTCATAAAGAAATGCACTCACTTTATTGCTACACAATGGCTGTAATGAAATCTAGCGGATTTAAGTCTTCAAACTCTTCAGCATTTTTAGGAGGCTATTGACCGTTGCTATTATGGTACAATAAGAATCGAAGTAAGGACTACAAATACGAATAATATCTACAACTTGCCATAACTATAAATGGCCGAGGAGTATTTTGTTGTTTCTCTACAATAAGTTATTATTATATCAGCAGCTAGAGTTGAGCGAATCTGCTTTAATAGACGTGTTGGAATTTAATTGTTATAATTGTTGTATCCAGCGACGTAGCATAAATAAAATTGTTAAGACGAGACAGGTATATCAAGATTAAGATCTCAAGAAAAGAATTTAAAGAGGACTGATATCAATAATAATTCGTTTTAATAATAGAACAGCAAACCTACTGAATAAAGCAGAGGCGATGATACTGTGGGATTTTTTCTTACCAGTTGCTTTTTTGAATCAAGCTCTTCCATTTCTCAATTTTTGGCAGACATTCATAATGACGAAAGTTCTCCTAACATAACAAGAGATTCTTACATTGCTGGTCACAAAACTAGTTACTTTCGAATTCGCCCATAAAAAAAACTATTTCAAGAGATCGCTGTATACTCCTGCTATCTAAGACATACTAAAATAATCCTGAAAGAAATGGTAGTACATCAAAAACATACTACATTTATGAAGTGCTTTTTTGTTTGAAAACAAAAGGGCTGAGGGTTGGCCCTAAAGTTCAACGGGAGATCCACTCTGAAGCAATATCTTCCTATTGTAACGAAGATATTTTGCCTACCACATGTGGTATTAATACAAGGGTTAGAAAATTGTGGCAGCTATCAACTGCCACAAACCACTCTTCATCGCTACATATTTCCACAAAAAAGTGGCCAAAAACAGAAAACTACAAATTCGACGGATGAACTTGGATCCATAATTGAGTCTACAATGACCCAAGTCTTAAGAATTCGTTCACATAACTGGGAATAACAAACACTTGACAGGAATTAAAACGCAGGAGATTCCATTTCTACGACATACAAAAATTATAAGGTGACTTCGAATAAAACATTAAAAGAAAATACCGAGAAAGTACACATCTTTAAAATAATAAACAACTCTAAAATGGTTTTTATTACTTGGTAACGCTAAAATGAATTAAAAGAATTCGGTGTTTCAATACGTACGAATCAGAAATTGAAACACATTAAAAAATATTTTGCGATTTCTCAAACATATATGAGGGGATTTCAATATATTACATATACGAGGGGATTTCAATATACACCCAAAAAAAAATGCCAGTATGTAAAAAGAGGCGTAAAATGTAGCAATGAAGTAATTCTTTCACATAATGTGTAATACAGTATTGCGAGAATCATTGTGACATTTTTCAATATTTACAGTTGTCAACACTGTCCACACATTTACAACTGACCAAGTATTGAAAACATAACCTTACTTTTCTCTGCCGTTTATTTGAGGGTGTTTCAGGACATTTCCCGGTAAGTTTGTGTTGTTTTGGACTATTTTAAGTTGTTTTTGGTAATTAGTGAGTTTTTTTTCGTTTAATTCCATCATGGATATTACACCTAAGAAGCGTGAAAAGACGTAATGTTCACGTTAAGTCACTTCTATGACACTTCTATGTCACAAAGAGAAATCGCAAGAACGCGTGGAGTGAGTCAGGGGATACTAACCAAGATGGAAAATGCGGAAGAAAGATAAAAACAACACCAGCACATAAAAATTTTTTAAAACATAATGACGGTACATAGATTTTGATTCTATACAGAGCAGCGACAAGCCGCTTATATGTATTTCGACCTCTTTAGGTCTCCTCAGAACGATATAGCCACTACTCCGTATCGAAACAAAATCTATTCCCGTCGTAGACCATAGTTATCAAAAATAAGTATATACAGACATAACTACGCCATCTAAGAACAAAAAGAGAAATCATACGATGAAAGCACGGTGGTTAAGATTTGAATTCGATTTCGCCAGGTAGAAATCGTATGATTTCTCTTTTTGTTAAAAGATTTTTACTTCGAAAGAGCCCATTTACCCCATCTCCCTTCTGGGAAATACCCCCAAAAAATAAATTGGACCCAAAAACAGGCCAAAAGCTCCAACAAGATCTAGCAGCAGCAGGTGTAGTGATTCATGACTCAACTGTTCCGAAAAGACTTGTGAATGGTATGAAGACTTGAGAATGGTAAAAGGGCAATGCGTCCACAGAAAAAACAGCTTCTAACTGAACGAATGAAGAAACAAAGCCTATTCTAGGCCAAAAATACTCTAATTGGACTGTAGATGACTTGGGAAAACTCCTATTTACATATGAAACTCATTTTGTAGATCCAGGACAGTGGTCGAAATTCGTCAGAAAGTTTGAAACTGAAAACCTTACACCATCTGTTCAAAGCGTAAAATATTCAGTCAAAAAAATGTTTTGGGGATGTTTGTCATACATGGGGATTGGATTTTTGGTACCAATCGAATTCACGATGAACAGCCACAAATACAAATCCATGTTGGAACAGCGTTTGGACACAAATCTCCAAAAAAGTCAGCCCCAAGGATGAGTGATTCTTTATCAGGACTCTGCTCATTGTCACAAGTCAAAGCAAATGATGTAATTATTCAAAAATAAGAAGATTAATGCTTTTTATGTCCGGTAACTCGCCAGACCTCAACCCTATTGATAATTTATGGGCCATTTGCAAAGCTAGACTGCGTACAATCAACTGTAGTATACAAATAAAAATGATGGAAGCAGCAATTCAGGTTTGGTTTCGAGATGAAAGGATATCTACGAAAGCTCGTAGAATCTATGCCAAAACGGGTAAAAGCAGTAATTTCAGCCAAAGGGGGACATATTTCGTACTAAATGATGGTGACTATTAAGGGGACCTGCAGACACCTCAAAAAAAAAGTTATACGGTTTTTTCGAAAAAAAAAATGCATTTTTAATACATTTAAATTGTGTAAATGCCTCAACAATGCGTGTGAATTTTTTGAAATTTTTAAATTGATTGCATCTCACTTAAAAAAAAATAAACACGAAAAACTGACGTTGTTGGATCTAGGGAGTGGGGTGAAAGTGGCGGGCTAAAATTGCACTTAGCCTTATTTTCTAATCATATAGAACGTAAAAAAAAATGAGAAAAATGAATTCTGGGAGAGAGAATTCTTCATTTTGCCTATGTTAAAGGGTAACCTTTGTGTTATTTTGACTCTTGCAACAAGAATTCTATATTTATGAATTTATCGGTAATTCTTGAGTGAATTAAATAATAAGTTGGTGTTATTTTATGATCTTGCAGTCTCATATTTTCTCACTCCATTTATTTATTTGCAAACAGATAAAAATCGCTGGTAAGCAAATGTGGAAAATTCAACGTCCAGTTTAAAATGATAGTCTTTAGATTGTGGGGAAATGTCGCAAGAAACAACCACCAAACTTTACAAACTTAACAGAACGACTGATATGTTTTATCACAAAAATAACTAAACAATGTATAACACGTCTAGGTAGTGTTTCTCAAGATTATAGCTTAAAACTTCATCGTGTTCTTTAATCCTTCGCCGTCCATTACATAAATCCGACAAATTGTAATAACTGGTTCCATTATATAGTTTCAGTTCCCAGAAACAGCCGTAACAAAAGCAAATCTACTTCAAGTAACGACGTTACCTGGCATTACGCTCTGATATACATATAACCCTTATTTCTGTGTGACCTCTTCGCGAGGGGCCAATGTGGTACGATAATAGTTCTCGTTTTTTACTATTATATTAAAAAAAATAATAACCGGTCCCATTCGAGTTGTGTAAGAATGTCGCCTACCTTATCCGATGTAATTGTTTTGACGACAACGGCATTGTTACAGCTAGGTTGAGAACATAACCATTAGGTAGTTGTTTTAAGAAGTACTAAAAAGCCGGTCTCCGAACGGTGAAATAAAATCATCTAAAAGGTAGTTTTGCTTTCCAAAATACTCTCTCGTTCAATAACAAACATTAAGCTTCCTAATAGGAGAAAAATAACGCGCCTAGGTACATTAATTGGTCATATAAGTTGAAATCCGTGGGAAAAAACTACATTAATTAATTAATTGTGCGCAGTAATTAAAAATTACTACGACTCACAAATGTCTGTAGCTATTGTCTTTTAGAAAGTCGTTTGTCAGCCAAATTAGCAACTTTTAATTGATATACCATATAAATGCAGTTAGTAAAAGAGATAGATGCTGAGGGTTGTCCAGTAATAACTCGTAATTGTTGGATTATACAGACCAGTGACGGAGAAAGAGTAGAATAGTTGGGATTTTATATTTCAAGTTCATAGTACATGGTACATAGTATGCCAAATTAAGAAAAATCATCATCATCATTTGGTTTTACAACTCTATGTGAGTCTTGGTCGCATTGTTGTCGCTCCTGTGCAGCTATTTCCCATTGCTTTATTCCCATTTTGCGTAGATCACTTGACTTCTTTGACGACTTCAAAGTTGTATTCATTGATTGTTACGTTTTGTCTAACCCTTGGTCTTGGGTTCTTCGTAATAACCATGTACTTGGTCTTGTCCTCGTTGACCTTCAGACCAATTTCCTTGGCTTCGTTTTCGAGAAATTAAGAAAAAGCTACTCAATAAGTAATTTTATCAATCAATCAATCAGCTTATAACGTTCTACGCTGTCTTCTAATTTCCAGTCTCTATTTATCTCGGTCGTTCCAATGGTTTTCTTTAACTCCCCTCTCCCTTAAGTCTTTATCAATTCCTTCTCTCCAACTTAATCTCGGTGTACCTTGCTTTATTCTTCCATGCGGTCTCCAGTTCAATGCTTTCTTTGGTATTCTGTGTTCATCCATTCTTTGAACGTGTTTATACCATCTTAGTTGGTTTATTCTGATGTCCTCTGTTATATTGTGCTTAAGTGAGAGCGCCCACCAAACTGACGTGGCAAGTAGCACGCGTCTAGCATGTTATTTAAAATGTAACCAATGGAAACGAATGATTAGAATGAATGACGTCACTATCATTTTGGTGTGCTTTAAATCATTCGTTTCCATTGGTTACATTTTTAGTAACATGCTAGATGCGTGCTACCTGCCACGCCACTTTGGTGGGCGCTCTCACTTACACCCATTATTTCGCGTATTCTTTCGTTTCTAACTTTGTCTCTGTTGATTCGAATGCTTTTAAGTTCTTTCCTTTCAGTGGCTATACCTCACTTCCATTTGTAACAATGCTTTTTATAATGCTGTTATAGATTTTGTGTTTGTTTTCTTTGGAGATTGTTTTGTCCCACAGTACACTGTTCAATTGCCTAATGGCTTGTCTTCCCTAGTTATTTCTATGTTTAATTTCTTCATCTAATTTGCCATCGTTGGTTATATTTGTATTATTGCCAGTGATTTATTTCTCGCTGTATTTTTTCCAAGATTAGATTTTGTTGAATTTCCCCAATACACGTGTATTCAGTTTTCTTGATATTTACTTGATACTTACTAGCCTCCATAGTTCGTATTCTTCGTTAAGTTGACGGGTCATATATTGGAGGTCTTCATAGTCTTGGGCCTAGACTATCTGGTCGTCTGCAAAACTCAATGTGTACAATATTGCGTCGTTTAGAGGAATTTCCATGTTTCTGCATTTTTTTCCACGTCTTCATCGCCTGCTTCGAGTAGATCTGAAACAAAGTAGGAGGCACGCAGTATCCTTGTTTGAGTCCTTTGCTGATAGTGAAACCCTTGGATACCTCCTTTCTTTATTTTACTTGTCTTGTTCTTGTAGAGGTCTTGAACAGCCTTGATTATGGTTACATTTGTTTTGTCGAGAGCTTCCCAGACTTTTTGTTGTGGCACACTATCATAAGCTTTTTTAAGGTCCACATAAAGGTGCTACTTGTTTTTCCGACAACTGCCACATTTTGTCATAGGGGTAAAGACCCACCACCATTTTTTCCATATATGCCGATTTATTCCTTGATCGAGTAAGTCCACACCCCCATTAATAAATTGTAATATTTGAGTAGCTGAGGTTGTAACACATGTGTATTTCACATTTTCCATTGTTTAGCCGTTTTCTCAGGACTTTCAGAATTTTATTATCTTCTATAGTTTGGTGGATCTTTTCATTCTCAAATTTTCTCAAATCTTTCCTTATAGCTTTTGATACTTCTCGTTTCTGATCTTGCCATCTGGGCTTTTCCACGTCCATTATTTGTGGTCTTTTTTAGAGAAGAAACTATTCATCTGGTATAGATTTTGTTGTAATTGAAATTCTAGTTGTGTTTGTTCACGCTCGTTTCTGCCTGTGGATCCAAATTTACCTAGTGCTGTTTTCTGTTCATTCTGCTTTAGACCGATCTTTGCGTTAAAGTAGCCGCATATAATCGTGTAGTTTGTTGGTGTTTCTTTCAGTGCCGTTGAGATATCATTATAGAATTCTTCAATCTGTCCATCTGGAAAGTCTTTTGTTGGAGCATATACTTGAATAATCTTATTTTATACCTTTGATTTAGTTTTACGATTTAATAGTATCTCTAGTTTTCTCTATGTCACCTTACTTCACTGACTCCAATGATATCCCATTTTACTTTTGACATCTCGATTTCCATTTCGGTGACTTTTTCTTCAGATAATAATGTTCTGGCCTTGTGGGTACAGATATAGTGTTAAAGGTGTTTTTTTGGTCTTTCGCATCGTCAGTTTTTTGTCCCCTCCCTCCCCAGAATCCTTGGGACAGACTGATAAATCAGTGTGAGACTTTCGATTTCTCGGTACACCTGGGGCACATCCGTTTTTGTTTTAAAATATGACATTTTGTTAAGAAGTCTCTTAAGAGTATGTTAAGAGGCCTTAAAACACCACGCTGGCAAGGCGGGTTGGTGAGTTTTTAATTCAGCTACTCATTTTGAGTACCGACTCTGTTTGAAGCCGCACGCTCCGGGTCAGACGCTTCCAGGTTTGTGATCTTATACTATCCCTAAAATCAGGGTTTGCAAAATCCGCCATCTTCGAACGAACGCCATCTTCGTTCTGGACTTCGTCCGTGACCTTGGACAAGGGATCCTTAACAAGTGCTAGCTTCGCAGGTCAAAGAAGCTCCTGGAATCTGAGGAAACCGCGGTTAGGAACAATAGGTATATACAGGCAATAACAGGTTAACAATACTATTAAGAATGGGTATATTAGGGGAAGTCTAGGGGGTATAGAACATACATTAAGATGGTTCGAGAATTTTCAATTTTTAGACAAAAGCCAATAGGTAGAATTAATTGATGATTCCTTTCAAGATCCAGGAAGGATAAACATGAGCAAAAATCACTATCTCACTATCAGGTGAAGAAAACTTACTATAATTTTTTTGCAGTTTTCGGACCAACAAATTAATTTTAAACTTTAAAATACTTCATTTCAAATACTTACATTATTAACGGTAAGGAAAATTCGAAAATGCCTTTCTCATACCTAATTGTTAATAAATAAAACAACACTGAATTCTCTGCAGGAAACATGTTTTCCTATTAATATAATAATTATCATCTAAACAAATTTCCTGATGATTGCTGGATTTTTTCAACGTATTAAGGAAAAATTACTTCTTCAGACTATATATATATGATTTTTAGGATGCTGACAAACATTTAAACTTTACGATATTTTCTTCTTGTTCCTAAAAACTCAAAGACTTTTTTTATTAGTAACATTCGAATATTTTTGTAAAAGGAAATAAACCACAACCTTCTTGACGGTAGGTAACAAATTTATAGGTAGACAATTAAAAAATTCGACGTGCCAACTTCTGTCGGACAGCCAGTTGCCCAATCAGTTTTTAGAATGCCGTTTGTGGCATCTCCAAATACAACAACAAGAATCCCCAAATACGAAGTTGGCATTTTTTCAGGAAGCAATAAGAAAGAATGCACACATACCAAATTTTTCTTACTGGTTGGTTTAAAATGGTATTGATATACGGAATGTTTGATCGATTTGGAAATGGGGTACGTTATTTCGAGAACAAGCTCTATGAGAACGATTTTAGGGTTTTCATTTTAATGTTCACTCTTTATGGGAAGATGAATGCACATGTGAATTTAAAAAATGTTTCAAAACTTTACTCATCAAGCTCAATAAATTGTAATGAGTTAATTGATTCACATTTATGATTTATATACAGGGTGTTTCAAAAAGGTATGTCATAAATCAAATCACACATTCTGGGGACAAAAATAAATTCATTGAATCCAACTTACCTTAGTACAAAAGTGTACACAAAAAAAATTACAGCCTTTTGAAGTTACAAAATAAAAATTGTTTTTTTGCATTTTCTTCTAAACTACTTGACATTTTGTAATAAAAATAGACACGTTACTTTCTTGTTCTGAAAGCAGTTTTCATACAAAAGAAACAAAAACATCTAAGTGCATAGAAACATTTTAAGGGGGGCGTGCAGCCCTAAATCCTCCCAAACTTTTGAGTACGTTCAAATCAAATGAATTTTGTGGCATCATTAGTTTAACACATTATTTTTAAAACTTTTTTGCCTCTTATTACTTTTTCGAAAAACTAGTTTTTTTTCTAGTTGGCCATAAAATTACAATTAGTTTCTACGGATATAATAATTACGAACAGTTCCATCAATAATAGTCAATAATTTGAAGCTATCATTTATTGTGTGAATAAGATTAATATTAAAAATTTTGATATTACTGAGCGAAGATGCCGGTGTGTTTGTCCTGATGGCTTTTTTTTCGCGCACCAGTCATAGGTCGCTGGTTTTTTCCCTTGGGGAACAAGGTTTTTCCTTAGGGAAATATTAACAAGTCTATTTAAACGATTACAACGTATTTTGGACGCCGATAACTTGCATACGATAGCTGATTTATGAAACTAAACTTTATGAAACTATAAAACTAGATAACTTTTCAGTGATACAATATTGGCACGAACTGATTGACTCGAACTTATTAATATACCGACTGGTTTAAACCTTCTGAATGCCGCTGGGGCGAGTAGAGCCTAGCGCTCTTTCGATGCTGGATTTTGAACTGATACAGTACTGACTTGAACTGCGAACTGATGTCCACTCTCTCCCTTCAATCACTCTGCTTGTAATTTTTGTTAACATTCAGAAATCTCCCCCCTGAGCCCCTCGACGTATTTTAAGGATATGTTTACATTTCAAATACCTTCGACTTTCACTTCATTTGTAAAAACTACCTGAGAAAGGTATTTGTCTCCACTTTCGGAATTTTCGAACGGTCAAACGGATAATTTGGAAAATACTAATCCTTTCATTGATACGATTCTAAGTTTAGAAATTTGTGTAGAAAATTATTTAAATGCAAGCTATCGGCGCTTTACAGATTATTAGTTGGTACAAAGAAATTTTATAAATGTAAACTAATTTACAGTATGATATAATAATATGATACAAAAATAAACTAAAAATATTAAATATTGTTGTTACGCAACAATTACAATGGCCTACACCTTTTAGGAAATGGGAGATATGCACTTAACTTTGGATAAGTTGGATCAGATTAAATTTTGATTTCAATAAACTATCGGGAATATCGTAGGTGAATGTCAAGGAAATAGTGCAGCATAACGCAAGGCGTTATGCAGTAAAATACCCCAATCGAAATACACCGGATAGACGATTATTTCTGACCATTGATCGTCGTTTACGGGAAACGGGTACATTGCAACCTCAAGTTGCTGGCAATAGTGGTCGTCCAATAATAAATGCAACTGATGGAGACATTTTTGAAATCATTGAAGAAGTCCTTGGAACAAGTACAAGGGTAATATCTGCTCAACTAAATGTTCCTCATGTAAGTGTTTGGAGGCGTTTGAAAGATCAGTTGCTTAAACCCTATCACTTAACAATGTTTTAAGAGTTATTGGTTGAAGATTATCCTAAAAGGATTGAATTTTGCGATTGGTTGTTAATAGAAAATAGTGGAAATATGAATTTTATTAGAAATATTTTGTTTACCGACGAGGCTACCTTCAGTAGAACTGGAATAACAAACCATCATAATGAGCAATCACATTTGGACCGTCGAAATTCCTCACGCCAAAACAACGACTCATCACCAAAGGACTTTCATAGTTAATGTTTGGTAAAATTCCGGGAAAAACCAGGAATTTCTTTTTAAAATAACGAAACATATAAAATCAGCATTTTGGTGTTTATTGAAGGTAAACTAAATGCACGAACAAATACTTACCATGTCGGGATAGTATTATGAGGTTTTTTTCCTGGTTTTTCCCTCATAATTTACTATGGAATTACTAACAAGATAATTTTACTGTCATCATGTCATGTGTTTGTCTTTTTAAAGACGAATTACATGCTATGATTTTTTTCTGACGGATATTCTCAAGTTAAAGTTGATTTCATGTAATCGAATGAACTATCTTATAAGTAAAGTCGTCCCAGGAGCGCAACTCAACAATATTGGCAATATCATTTTAAGGTCGTCTACTTTAAAATGCATAATGTATGTCTGAATTGTCAATATAAATGAGTCAGATAAAATTAAATTATTAGAAGAATTTTTCACTATGTAACAAAAAAAACAAAGTCTAAGTTCCGTAATTACTCATATATTTTTTCGGATGCATCTAAATCAGATTTAAAGGTTACATCTGCCTTTTACGATCCAGATCGAAAATTAAGTACAGTAGTAGATCTAAATATTAAAACCTCGATATATACCGCTGAACTAATAGCAATATTAGAAGCACTTAAATACATTAATAATTTCTTAAGAACAAAATCTAACGTTATATTCTCTGATAGTAAAAGCTCAATACAAAAAATTGAAAATATTTCTAAATATAACAATATTGGATTTAATTATGTGTTATCTGAAATTATAAACCTGGTGGGTACAATGAAATTAAGAGGATCTAATGTAATGTTTTGTTGGATAAAAGCTCATTGTGGAATATTAAATAATGAAATAGTAGACAAAATTGCTAAATATAATAAACCATTTAAAGAATCAGAATATAAATGTGTAATTGAGGATCTAAATTCTCATCTAAGGAAAAAAATATTAAATTCATGGCAAACAATGTACAATTTATCCAACAAAGGATTATATTATAAAGATATAAAACCAAAAATACAGTCCTCAACGTAGTTCAAAAACTCAAATTTTAATAAAGATATGATTAGAATACTATGTAGAATAAGATTTAACCATGCTCTGTCTCCGTTACATAAGTTCAAAATTAATTTAGCTGAAACTCCATTTTGCGAATGTGGCGAAGAAGGCTCAATTGAGCATTTAGTTTTAAATTGCTCTTTAAATACACGATGTATAAACCAATTTATAATAAAAATATACGAGTATATCAATAAGGAAAAAATTTTTATTAAAAGAGCTTTTAATTTATCAGATTTAATAAAAACCAATAACTTGCATATTTATGAAAGAATTTTTCGCCACGTACGTGAAATGAAATTGAATTTCTAAATGTATTATGGTAACAGTGTATATATTTCAAACATAAAAAGTTAGTTATATAAGTCCTTTGTTTTAACCCAGTTGTTAACCTTTCTATCCGTGGTCTAATTTTGTGTTGTTCAAATCGCCTTGATAGACCCCTAGGCGTATGTAATAAATCAGCAAAACCATATATTTTCCTTTTCCTTCCAGTAAAAAAAAAAACTAAAAATAAAAAAAAATAAAAAAAAAGAAATAATAAAAAAAATAATAGGAAAATAAAAAAAATAAAAAATAAAATAAAAAAAATAAAAAAATATAATAAAAAAAAATTAATGTTAATGTAGGTACGTACTTATATTATGTAAGTCAATAGAAGTTAAGATTTTATTTTTGTGACGGGTTCTCTCTATAACAATTGTTTAAAAAATTAATTAATAACTCAAAACATAATAGGCTAATGGACTATGTCTCTAGTCATAAAATAAAACTACACACACACAACAAAAAAACAAAATTTGTTTAATTTACTGTTTGTATTTTCAGAACGATTTCCGAAGTGGAAATTGAAACGTCAATAAACGTATTTTTATCTTTAATTGTGGCTTATTCCCAGTTAAATAGTAATTAATTTAAAATGCCACAAGAAAATAGCTTCAGAACAATATCAATAAAAACTGTTTTTTGAAAAAAGTGATAAGAGGCAAAAAAATTTTAAAAACAATCTGTTAAACTAATGATGCCACAAAATTCATTTGATTGAATGTACTCAAAAGTTTGGGGGAATTTAGGGCTACACACCCCTCTTAAAATTTTTCTGTGCTCTTAGATTTTGTTGTTTCTTTTGTATGAAAAATGCTTTCAGAACAAGAAAGTAACGTGTCCATTTTTATTACAAAATGTCAAGTAGTTTAGGAAATAATGCAAAAAAACAATTTTCATTTTGTAACTTCAAAGGGCTGTAACTTTTTTGAACCTATGTGAAATTTTATTTAAGTCTGTCAATTCATTCTTCCTTTAGAAGTTTTTAGTAATTTAGTATCGACGAGACACAATATTTTTTTACAATACTTCCAACTGTTTTAATACTTAAATAATTCGTGCGTGAAAATCGTTTTTCATCAAATGATAAGGTCATAGCAGCTGTGGAAGCATATTCGGCAGACCTTTTATAGTCTATTATCATAGTATGCCTTTTAGTCAAATATATTTAGAAAAAAACATACGAGTCTAAAAATAGTTCAATTTGCTCTATCAAAACTCGAATCAAAGTATTTTGCTGCTGATGGATAAAAACCAACAGACGGAAAGAAATAAGTGAAGATTATTGGTATTTCATTGCTATTAATGTTCATCTAAATACTTCGAAGACATTCAGAACCATTTAGCGAGTATATTATCTATAGATTCCGCCATATGATACGAATTCCATCGTCGGAGCAGCTTTCCGTTATCGTAACATTAGACGCGACTGAAAATAAACTCGAACAACATTTCTTGAATATCTAACACCACCAGTTCATACTAATTGTCTTAGAAAAGATATCATGTATATTCTGCACGCATCCCATGCCATGCCAGGCTCATTACACTGTACTGTCTATGATGGCCGTGTTGTGTTCTTTTCGAAAAGCATTCCAGTTCGGTTTTTGTATATCGATACACGCCGTTGACATATTAAAAGTGTTCGAGGGAATAAAAAGATTCGATTCTCATGGTACTTTGTACTTGGAACACATGTTTTAACACCGATGGCTAAAAAATTATGGAATCGTTGTTGTTGACTGTCTATAAATGGTTATAATGGTGGTTTTGATTTATGCGTACTATGTTTAGGCTTTAAAAAAGTATTCTTAGAAAGTGCACTATTTCTAGCACAGCAAGTGACGTAGTTGATCTACGACGGGTTTTATTTAAACACAACTTTAAAATGTAACAATAAAACACTGAAAACTTTGTATAAAACTTGTAATAAAACTTTGTAATAAAACTTTGAAATCTTCCACAAAAATTTATTTTAACTCTTATCACTACAGTTGTTTCGGCTGATTGCCTTTCTCAAGTGATCTATTTTTGGCATGCGTTTACACTTTATAGTCTCTAATGAAATAGGTTGAGGAGGGGAGAACTGTTTGTTTCAAGTTGGTCATTCAGAATTATATTTGTGTTTTTTAATTTGTTGAATTGCATAGATTCTAACAAGGATAGCTTAAGGCCTTTGTTAAATGTGAAGAATTTTAAATTCGTCGTTAAAAGAATGATTATGATCTAGAAGGTGAAGTGCGTATGTAGAATCTGTTTTTCTATTATTGAATGCCCTTTTATGTTCTGCCATTCGTTTGTTAAAGTTTCTACCAGTTTGACCGATGTAAGTTTTTGGGCAGTCGCCACATTTAAGTTTGTACACACCACTGTGTAAGTGTTTTTTATTTTGGCTCTTGTTGTTTTTGATTTGTATTTGCCTAGGTTGTTATTTGCTCGGAAATCTGGTGTTATTCCTTTCTTTTTTATGTGTTTGTGGTGGAAATACTAATTTCAGGGCTTTCTTGTGTAGTTTTTGATTTAAAATTGTATTAATTGTTTGTTCATTGTATCCGTTATTTACTGCTATTTGCTTAATGATATTTAATTCTGTCTCAAAGTTGTATTTTGACATCGGAATTTCTGTTAATCTATGTAACATACTATGATATGCTGCCAGTTTATGTTGTGTTGGATGGGATGATGAATTGTGTATAGTCGTGTCAGTATGGGTAGGTTTGTGAAATATGCAAGTCATGTTTGTTTTTAAATCTGATAATTTTTAAATCTAAAAAATTTATAGATTGATTTTGTTCTGTTTCTATTGTAAATTCAATATGACTATGAAGATAATTAATATACGATAAAAATTGGTCGAGTTGCCTGTTAGTTCCTATGAAATATACTAGTACGTCGTCTACGTATCTCCACCAATATAAAAACTGTTTAAATACGGGATGTTTTGAAATCTTTGTCTCTAGATGATCCATAAAAATATCTGATAGCAATGGGCTTAGAGGATTGTCCATTATAAGTCCTGCACTGTTATTTGTATATATTTGATTATTAAATTCAAAGTAGTCCTGGTTTATGCAAATTTCAAGAAGATGTAAAATTTCAGATGTAATTATTGGATTTGTACAATTTTGGTCTAAAAGGTTTTTTACTAGAATAAAAGTTTCTGTAGGAGGGATACTAGGAAAAAGATTTTTTACGTCAAATGAAATTAATCTGGAGTTGTTAGATAATTGAAAATGTTGTATTTTATTAACTAGTTCTATTGTATTTTTTATGGTAATTTAGGTGAAAATTGAGTGTCTTCTAAAATAATCTCTAACAGTTTTTTTTAAGTTTATATGACGGAGCAGTATAAAAGGAAACTATAGGTCTTATTGGGTGATCCGGTTTGTGCAGTTTAATGAAAGAGTATAATTTAGGAGGCTGTGGGTTCGTGATATTAAGGTATTTCTGTTCTGTTTGAAAACAAAGTTTTCAGTGTTTAATTGTTACATAAAATGAATTGCCATCCAGTACCGGTCGAGTCCATCAACAACTTTAAAAGTTTCAGTAGTTTTAATAAAACAATATTGTGGGTTCCTAGATAATCTGTCAGGTATTAAATATCGATCCATTTTCTTAGCAAGGATTAAAATTTCCAATCAACATTAAATTTCTCATTGTCGACAATTCCAATTTATCATTGCCGACAACAAATTGCGAAAATTCCAGTTGATTTAAATTTATATCTGTTTAGATCTTTAACTATATGGAGTAGAATTGTTCATCATCATTATCAGCCCATAGTCGTCCACTGCTAAACATAGGCCTCCTCGAAAAACCTCCAAAACCTCCAAAAATCCTCTTTATGTCGTCAGTCCATCTTGTGGGTGGTCTTCCCAGGTTTCGTCTATCCGCTCTTGGTCTCCACTTGTTGGTCCACCTATTATCCTTCATTCTAGGGACGTGTCCTGCTTACCTCCATTTAATTTTGGCTGTGTTTTATAATGTCTTCTACACCACTTTTTCTGCGGATTTCTTCGTTTCTTACCCTATCTCGCAACGTTATGCCCAACAATGGTCTTTCTATTCTACGTTGCATCACTTGTAGTTTTCGTTCAGATGTCCTTGTTAGGGTAAGTGTCTCTGCGCCATATGTAAGGACAGGCAGGACACACTGATTAAAGGCTCTTCTTTTTAATCTGATAGGTATAACACCTTTAAAAATATCACGTAGTCTTCCATATGCTGCCCATCCCAGTGTTATTCTTCTTAGCAGCTCAGCAGTTTGATTATCTCTGCTAAGTAGAATTGTTAGTCTTCTTCTAATAACAACAAAAAGCGAATTCATGTAATAAAAATGGCACACAAA